GCTAATCTCACCGTTCAACGACTTGCGCGCCCGTACGCGCCCGGATCAATTATGGGCTTTATTTTAATGATGTATACCCCAAAGGTTTGTTCAGGGTCTAACAAATTATGCCTAAGTTCTGTACATATTTCTGAGAAGTGGTGATGGCTTTAATATCTTGGTTAATGTTTCGCAGTCAAAGCAGTGTTAACGCATAAGCGGAAAGAAAGTGTGACAAGTTATCCCAATCATACAAACAATAATTAAGTACCAAAGATGCACTCCACCAAAACTAACAAACATATCACCAAATATATATTACAATCTTCTTTTCCCCCAACATGCGTTTTCCTTAAATTAGGCGAAGAAAAAGTATTAAAGTTTTTAAATTATTTTAGGTTATATCATTTTCCATACAATATTTTCTCGCTGACTTTTTTAGCCTACTTTAAGGAATATAACGAACGTATAGTAAATTTATTGATAATGTTTTTTTAATATATCGTAATAGGACCAATTCTTTAATATACGTTCGCCAGTAAGAAACATACTTACACTTTAAATAATAACATCGTTAGTCGAAAAGAAGTATGGGCAGACAAAGAAATGAACAGCGATCACAGATGGTAGACCAAAGACGTACAAGACGACGAAAACGACTAAGGAGATCGATAGGTAAAAAACAGCTAACGTTGAGCATAAATTACAACGCAAACCCCCAGTCCTTCTCACCGATAAAAATTTATTCATTTTCTCATCTAACATCGCTTGGCGCTGCTTTCTCGCACCAGCAACGGGGCAGCTCTTATCTCTACCTGTAATATAAACAGGATGGGGTATTGAAGCAAGAAATTCATGGAGTACGATCGATGACTTCGCAGACCGGGCGCGTACGAGTTTGTGCTAGACGCTTACGGTTGACACATAGTCTAGAATTTTTGGAACGTGTATGTTTTACAAATATAATTTTTAAGTATCAGTTTCTAAACAGCTATCTGCAAATAATAACTAAGTTATCAAAAAGTTCTATGAACGATTCCTACGCCTGTTTCTTAGGATTACCTGTCTAATGAATATGATCATCACTAAATATTACTATAACTATTGAAAGTATAATAAGATCTTAACAAGAATGCGTCTATTATAACGTTTTACCTTGCGATGCCTGAAAACACTGAAATAGTAAAACCTCGCACGGAACACCTTTGCATAATGTTAGGAACGATTATGAGTGAGGTATTGTAATGTGCATGTACGCAATTAGTGTGTTCGTTGTGTAGTGTGGGAGTAAAAAAACCCTCGGCAAGGACTCATGACATTCCGGAGAGGAGGACGGTGAATGGAAAGCGGGTAAATCACTCACCGCGGTCCCGGTACTCGTCGTTTTCGTCGGAAACGCACTCTGGAACTTCGTCATCAGAAGATGAGGATCTCGGCGGCATCGGAGGGTGTAAGGCAGGCGTGTGGGGTAGAGGCAATAGCTGCGTTGGCTGATGTGGGGTTCCCATGTCGTCTATCCCGTAGACTGACTTTTGCCTTGAGTGTACGAGATGCGGGTGAGTCCTAGAGAGTCCTTCTAGTTCCCCATAGCACTTAGCCTCTTGTTGACTGTACTGCCGGCGCAGGGCACTACTAGATCTCTGCAACGGTTGATTCTCTTTTTCTGCTGCACTGTGCGCTCTCTCTAATTTGGGTCTTTTATCTAATGTTGAATCTACCTGAGATGGTAAATTTCTTAAGTCCGATTCCATTCTCCATAGCATTGAATCGTGGCCAGTGCTTTTGTGAATCCATTGTCCAGTTTTTGATAATAGTTCTTGCTTTTTACGACAGAGAATACAGACCCATATGACCTGTAAAACAATTTTGTCGAATGCGGAATAAAAAAACAATAAAAAACTGAAATAAAGAACACACAATAGCCTACAGCTGTAGACAATTCTAAAATAAGTATAAAAAATCTTTTATTTAATAACTGCATAATAAAATTGTGAATTATTATGTGCATTTACCACAGGTCGTCTTCATATAGCGGAAACTACAAAGCAACGAATTTAGAAGATGCCTTATTTTTAGAAAACAGTATAGAGAAACATATTTTTTAGATATCACAAAGATACTCATTACGATTTTAGCCCACAATATATTCCAATCTTCGACATTTATGTTTTGTTACACTGTCATTGCACAAATCTTTAAAAAATATTTTTACTATGCGAAAGTACTGACTTTGTTGGAGCGTAAAGTGACCTTGCCCCCACACCTTGCGCAGCACCTCACTCGACAATAATGACAGGAGTGCCCTACTCCGTCAGCGAATTTGGTCTTCAAGCAAATTTCACATGTGGCTGCCAGTTCCACTCCAGCAGCCCTTTGCATCTCATTCCTGGTACGTATTGTTTGCTCCAGAACCGCTACTTCGTCTTGTTTTCGTCTGTGTAAACATACGTTTATAAAGTTGAGGGAAATAATCCATATTGTAAGCAAAATTTAAACAACGAAAAAAACGAACAAAAAAAATCGAAATTCTGGCACTTAGTCATATTTTTTATCATAGTTTTCTTTACTACCAAAGCCTGGAGGGAGTCGCTTATAATAATACATCCCAGCTGCAATAAAGTGCAAAAGTAAATTAAATGGCATGATTAAAATGTAATTTATCTTAGAGAGACTATCGATATCTCACTATAAAGATGAGAATAGATTTTTATTTATTAAATGTATTGAGGTACAAACATTTTATGACCATAAGATAGAAACATATGACATGTAGGTATGCAGAATACTTGAAATTTAACCTACTACGAGTATAATCCTCATAGCAAATAGTGGCATGGTATTTATCATGAAGTTGCGACTTTCGGGACATTGTTATTATTGACCGAAGACTGAAAGGTCCGAAAAGTTTTAATATTTAAAAAAATCCCATAATAACATTTATAAATCTACACATCTATAGATCTACAGAAACGTGTTATTATTAATAAGATTAGACGAAACTTGGGGTAAATTATAAAAGATGGAAAATCTTTAAAACGTTATAAACAAAGTATACCTACCTCGTCAACGTTGACAAATTCTAAGTCTAGTAAAAAAACATTAATTTAATTTAATTCAATTGTCAGTACAAAAAAATAAGGAAATTAAGATGATGGAAAACTATTAGCACGCAAGGATTGGAGTGAGAAAGCCTTTAATGGCTTAGTTGGCTTGGCAAGTTTGTTGGAGACCTTTGCGAAATCAGTCAAATCTATTTTTTTTTGTTTAAATCGAAGAGAAGCTATTTTATTTAAAAGATCATGTCTTTGTTGGAAATGCACTGTTTCTATAACTAAATAATTATATTATTTTTAATTGCAGTATGTTGTTTCCCATAGACTACTATGATGGATTTCAGCTATTATCCAGAAATAATAATAACTTTTTCTAGCTATACATAACAATCAATATTACATTAAAGCTAAAGCAAAGCCAAGGAATGCATCCTGTCAAACCTTGGCAAATTTATAAAATAAAAACAAAATAACATCTAATAAAACTCACATGTTAATTATTTTCCGAATTAACAGATCATATAGTAAGAGATCTTGACACATTTATCAGAAAGGAAGAGATAGCAGCAAAATCTTTTCGAACTTCGTAAGTCCCGACCCAGTATGCGCATTACATTTTCCTACTATGTTAGCGCAATAAATGAAAAAAGTAGGTCATACTGATTTAAATACGTTTACTAAAAGCGGTTTAAATTTATTTTAACAATTACTGATTTAAAACATAAAACCTATCAATAAAAGTAGGTAATAAATACTTAAATGTGTATTGAGGTTGTGTAGGTATGTTAGTTACATCTAATAGAGAATAAGACTATAAAATTCTTTGCTTAATTCGATTAACTTTTCTGAAAGCAACACTCAACGATGCGTCACTTTATTGATAAAAGATTTGATCGAAACGTTGGAAATTGATTCGACAATGCAGGATGCGCTAACTCGTACCTTTATCTCTGCGGTCGATTTTTGTGAACCATTATAGACTCGAGGTACACGTATGTGTCTGCAGGGTGACAGCGTTGGTTTTTACCACGACACCACTGATTTCGGTCACAGAATACACATTACGCTAAAGGGGTCGAAGGTCGAATAGAGCACACCTCATAATTTCGTGTTCGCGCTGCTCCTCCTGGCGCTGCCGCATAATGACGCCCTCGATGATGGCGCGTTCTTCGGGCGTGAGGTGCGAGAGGTCCGGCATGTCGGCCATGGCGGGCGGCCGCGAGCGATGGCGCGCCCGCCGCGTGCTGCGGTGCTGGCCCGCTGCGCGCTATTCTCTCGGGAGGTTTATTTAATAATGCCGGGCGGGCCAATCGCGCCCGACGCTACACTGACGTCAGCAGCGCTATTGATCGCTCGACTACTGCTTTCTTTGACCCGCCCTAGCCACCCGCCTTGACGTGCGTGCGCATACCAGAACCCAACTAGTTAGCTTAAGTTTTGAGGCTATCTATTTATATTTTCATATGCGCGGTAGCATTATTAAGCAAGGTTCTCTATTCAAATATGTCCAGTTTTGTGAGTTGCGTTGATCTTAATTTAAGCTTTTCCACTATTTAATTAGTACATACACATTGAAGTAAGGTTATTTACTGCACATCAAACCAAAAACCTCTTAATTGAGTCTGAGTTCGGTAGGTTTTAGCTCCTTGTCCTGTGAACATGTAATGCAGCAGAAGGCTAGTGAGCGACAGAGGTAAAGACCAGGGGGTGTACGTAGGCTAGCCGGCGCGGCGCGGAGATTCAAATCTAAGGACTCGTTCCGGAACACGCTCCCTTTTAGGCCTGAGATGCTTTGTGTGGGAAGGCTATGCTATAGCAGTTAGGGCTCTTGAGTATGCATGAGCATCAGGTACGAAAATCCGTGACGCCGGTTTTCGCAAGATCATTGTTACCATGCTAAAAAAGGTAGTCATACAAATTTCAATGAAAAATTACGCTGATTTTAACAGTTTTATTTGTTTTATTTTCTTAGTCGCAATCCAAGGGTGGAGGAGTACATTCACCAGGAACGTGATTGACGTGATCGTTGTGGAAGAAAGATTGAACACCGTCCCTCCATGGATATTTTTTATTGCGTATGCGCATGTATTCATAGTCCCGACATTCTCCTTTTTCAGGCAGCGTGTGATTATAGCAAATAAAACCTTGTATTATTATAAGAGGAAAGCCAACAAAGAACGTAAGGAATTTATATTTCTTCCAAGAATCTTTCTCGTGGTGAAAGCGAGGTACGCAAGGGTTTGGAGGGATAATGCTGGGACGACAACATGGGTTGGGCGTTATCTTCGGTCCTTGTCCGGGCATTGGGCATGTCGGACATCCGCATTGACAACCAGGTTTTGAAGGACCTCGCGGTGGACAGCATAAACTGTACTTTCGGGCAAACAGTTTGCCCAAAGAACTTAATTTCTTTCCATTTTTGTACATTTCTGTTTTTTTGTAATTTTGTAATTTTTAAATATAAGAGTTTTATTAATTTTCCATATCAAAAATGTGTTTATGCATTAATTTTGACGAACATTGTATTTTGCTTTTAAGAATACTGAAAGCCAGCTTGTCACAATAATGTTTTTCTTTCATAGTAGCTTTAAATGAGACTTGAAGCCGAAAAGGTTTTTATTACCTATTGTAGATAATAAACACATTTGCAGAACATAGAACGTTTCTCAAAAAACTTTTAACTAATTATACTTTTGAATGATAAATTGTTTAATTCAATAAGTTAGTCTTACAATGTATTGAAACGAATTAAAATATTAAACTCCGATTATAATTGTAAGGGTAATTGTAGCATGTAGCCTTTATTAACAAAAGGAAAACAGCTAATCGATCTATTGAACCATAAAACATGTTGTTACTATAAGAAACGAGTTCAGGATCACGTATTTTATAAACCAATAAAACACTGCGCATTCAAAATATTTTAATTTTTATATACCCGAAAAAAATCAATTTATCTCTCAAGTACCTACAGAGAGTTATGTAATATTGAAAGCGTCGTTGAACGAAAGTTTCAATTCACATGTTTTCAACTTTTCAGATACCTATTATGATGATGGTCTACTTTTCCATACTTACATTTCAATCTTTCCGAAGTGATTCCGTCTACGGAGCACAGAATAATTACTTTACGCACTAGAAGTTGAGCTACCTACGCAGTATGTACATCACAGACAATTAGGTCCAATTTCCAGAAACACTTGTCTGACAGTTGAATGTGCTCTGTGGTGAATTATAGTGATAGAATTTAGTCTGTATGATAGACTATAGTTTACATGCATATTCGATAATCGATTAGTTAGAAGTCTGTGTTCCATCGCATAGATAATAATATATAGTCACTAGATAGTAGATAGTAGACTATAACTATAGCGTGTTTTTTAAATCAGGCTTTGTAGTTTGTGAATTCAGATTAATTTAGTTGTAATTTAGGTAAGTAAATTAAAACAAAATTGTATTAAGTATAAAGCTTGTCTAACTTTATTTATCATTGAAGTCTCAAAAAAAATAATTACTATTATCAACAAATACCTTAAAGCCACGTAAGGTAAACAAATCAATAGCCGGCAACGAAACTTATTGCAGTATCGTAATAGCGATTATCAATAAATAATAGTAACTAGTAAGCAGTTTGTGATTTATCAAGTAAATACTATTCGTAATCAGTGCGATAACAAGCGGATTTTGATTAGAACAATTATGAGACACTTCGTATAGTTGTAAATATTTTTTGTCAGATGCGGTTTTACAGTGTACTATGTAAGTAAAAAATGTGTATTATTTATTTATTTATTTACGAAATTGTCCAAATATATTAACTAAAATTCCTAAGATAGTAATAAATTTTTTGGCATGAGTTACGCGTACAAAAAAATAAAAATATTGTTGGTTATATGGTTTTGTTCGAATGACATCAAAACAGCGTCCGATTGCTGATGATTCATATAATTTTCTAGTGTGTAGTCTGGATATATTAAGAGCACAGTGCTACTGCTATCCCAATTCCCAAGTCCCAACTAATATTCATACAGCCGCGAGTGACGACGGACGTGTAACATATTAAAATATTTTTCAGTACTACCAATACTTTTAAAAGCTGTTGCATCTTCAATCATGGATTCAAAGACGCTATCTTCATCCATCGCTAAATTTTCTGCCAAGTTCTGTAATGTAAGTATGTTAATAGTTGAATTTTGTGTTAAAAATCTTCTCATTGTTTTATATTTGAATTATCTTTTTACACTTCACCCTTTTTTTTATATTTATTAATAGTGATAGAAAACACAAAGTAGAAATATAATATTATTTATTAATTTTAATTAATTACTTTTGGGGTATTTATTTTAGGAAGTTTTTTGTATAATAGTGATTTTAGCTTTAAATATTTTTTTAGGAACTAGACAAGTCAACCAGTGTGGTTGCATCTCCATTATCAGCTGAATACATTCTTGCTCTTGTGGCTTTGGGATGTGAAGGTCCAGCACATGAAGAGATATTGCAATCCCTTGGATTCCCTGAAGATGATGCTGTAAGTTTCAACTTTATGAACATTATGGTAAAGCAACACCCTGTCTAGGCTTCAGTGGGATCATGACAGACTCTTCTGTAGGCTGAAAAAGTTATATCTCATTTAACTCAACTGTCATATTTTGTTTATATGCTTAAATTAAATATTAATGAAGATTTTTTTTTAGATTCGCTCATCTTTCTCTAGCATGTCATCTCAATTGAAATCTATCAAAGGTATTACTTTGAATGTGGCTAACAGAGTGTATATACAAGATGGGGGATACAAGCTAAACAGTGCCCTTGAGAGTGATGCTATTAAAGTGTTTGATGCTGGCCTTAAAACAATTGACTTTGGAAGTGGAAAGGCTGCTCAAGAAATCAATAAGTGGGTAAGTACTTTTTTGCTAAACTCAATTTTAAATTATCGAGACTTCACCAAAAAATAAATTGAGATATTTGTTTCTATTTACATTAATTTCTTAAAATTTGAGTTAAATAGTTGCTCGTAAAGGTATTATGTAAATGCACCTGCTACATGCTTATGAATGAAAATCCTTTCCCAGGTGGAGAGCAAAACCAATCAACGCATTAAGGATTTATTAACGTCTGACAGCGTTAACAGCGACACTCGCCTTGTCTTGGTGAATGCATTGTACTTTAAGGTATGTAGATAATTACTTTGAAGGTCACTGTAATTTTAATGATAAAGATGACCTATTGTTTTGATTTTTATTGGTCTTAGGTCAAATTAAATTATTCTTTTATAAGATTCCAATAGTGAGATTTGAATTGCATTTATAATTATTAAAATTGGTGGGAAAATCTTTTGAAAAATATAATTTTTTTATCATGTTTTGTAATTATTATTAGTAAAAGAGCATTGTTGTGAACAGGGAACCTGGCTAAAACCATTCCATAAGATGATGACATATGACCGTCCATTCTACGTTGATGAGAGTACCACAGTGGACATTCCGATGATGAGTGCCAAGGAAGAGTTCTTTTATGGTGAAAGCAAGGATCTTGGAGTTCAGGTATTTACTGAACTTTATGTTAACTTTAAAAATATTCTATTTTCTTTAATCATAAACAATTATTAAGAATTGTGATTACTTAATGTTTCACAGTTATGGCGTTCGTGCCGCCCATAGACCATAGTTTTGTTTGTTTGTTTTGTAGTGTTGTTTTAAAATTAGAGTCACAATCGCATTAGTACAGCCAATTTATTGCCATTGAAATACCCGTATTTATTCGTATTGATTTCTCGGATAACATTTTAGTTTTGATGATTATAAATAAATAATTCTAAGGACCCATTTAAGCGAGGAACACACAAAACTTGTTAAAACGTGTATAATTCATTGTATTATTAATAAGTTAAATTAAGATTTAGATTACATCAAGTCGTGGTTAGCTAAAGTTTCCGCATTGAAGATGTTTTTTTTTTATTATTAGGTAATAATTACAATAGTGCTTTTTTTCATGAATCATGTCACTTTTACTAATTGAAAAACGCGAGCTTTACATTCCATTAGTGTCAAGGTCACAAAATTGGGTTTAATTTGTTCCGCCAACACGTTCCTTTGTAAAAAATACTGAAGCCATCTTGATTCGCACGCTTAGAATTAGATATTTTTTAATAAATTTTAGCCATAAACAATCAAAGTATAAACTAACTAATAATATATCGTTATCGCTTCCAGTATGACCGTTCATACCTAGCTGCATATTTGTGTAAAAAGTAAAATATTAGTTCTAAAAACGTATTCTAAATTTACGTTTCTGTCAATTTAGCGCTGTACTGCACAAAATTGACTATGCTAACATAACTATTCGTATGCCCGCGCTTTATCAATATGACATTTTTACCCTTGTGAAATTGAACTATTCTGTGAGCCTAATAAGTAACAAAGGTAGTTAAAACTTATTTATGTTGCGCTCATATTAATCTCTGTAGGTACATGAAACTATTATATCAATATATAAACATGCGGTATATTAAGCAACTTTCAGATTTTATATATAATAAAAATAGATAGATTTCACTGAATTTTTTTATCTTGAAATCGATTGTAGGCAATAAAATTTAATCTACGTGTACATTATATAATTACTATATGAGACACAGCTTTGGGCGTTAACTGAAGCGCTCATTGTTTAACTGAAATCGACAGATTAATAGCACTCTAAACATTCAGAAATAAGCAAAGTTAAATAAACATCAAAAAATTCTTGACAACGAGCCAATTTTCTATCAGTGTGTAACAGAAATAAAATTCCGATAATTTTATAAAAACAGAGTTATTGATAAATGACTAATTTATCGTTATGAGTAATGGAAATATTAACTGATTACATTTAACTCCAGTGCCGAGTAATCGTATATTTGTATGGTGTGTCTTTTAAATAGGAAATCATTGCAAACTTTTTGTGTCGTTTCAAGGTTACGTACATGTTGGCCATTTTAAACAAAAGAATATGTCCTTGCCTTCGTTTTTTTGAATGAAACAATGTCTCTATTTTATTAATAATAAACAAGTAAACCCTTTTTGTAGTAAACGGATTCCCGGATTCACGTTATGCATAAATTCGTATTAAGCTGAATATAATTTGCCACCACACAGTACACACTACAAATAGCATATAATTTTTACTTGCACGTGCGTCAGTCGATTAAAAGCTTGGGAAAATTAACTATTCAGTACGTACACACCTCTCAACACTATACAACTAATGCTTTCTGGTTACAAAAGAATGATTCTATAGAAATTTGCCTATAAATAATAAATTATTAGTAGATATATACGACATACTTCGAAACCGCTAGTCAAGATGGAACCCACTAATACTTCCATACAAAAAATTATAGCTTTTATTATTATTGTTGTTTGCAGTACCTAAAAATGCAATATGAGGGCGAGGAAGCCAGTATGTTGGTCGTCCTACCGGAAAAGGTCGACGGTTTGAATGATGTTATTAAGAAGCTGGCTGATGGTTATGACCTGTTGGCTGATGTGGAGACTTTGGAGGAGACCAAAGTGGATGTCACGATCCCCAAGTTCAAGATTGAGACCGAGATTGACCTCATGGAAGTTCTTCCTAAGGTATTGTCTATTCTTGATAAAATGTTTTCTTAAATTGTAAATATTGCTTTCTACCGTATTCCTACTCTATATATGTACATAACTATTCTATATACAGACCGCGGATGGTGGCTTATCTTATGACCTAAGGTAAAATATGTGTCACGGATTGCAGATATTTATAGAACGCGTTTGACAATCGTTATTTTGTATGTGATATTGTGGGAATTGCTTAATATTTGAGTATAATGATTTATTTAAGGTTCCAAACACGTATTTGTCCACAAATTTCTCGGAAACTAAAGTCGTATCGATATGGTACTTACAGTCAGTAAGTACATCTCAATCATAGTTTTGCGGTATCTACGCATTTCTGAACATAATTTATAAGGATATACATAATTTATTAATTATTAATTGACACAAAGAACTTTACGTAGTTGGTCCCAAAGTTCTGTCACTGGCACATTATTTTTAAATTACGAACATGATTTTATAAAAAAATTATTGCATTCTATTTTTGATTGTTTGACTATTGTTTTAAAACAAAAAACATTCACTTTCCGTAAATTTTCAAGATGGAGTGGACATTGAAAGAAAACCGAATAGCTGTTATTGCGTTGCACCGCTGTGGGCACTCGGCGAGTACCATTTTCAAGTTGCTCAAAAATTTAAATATAACGCTTAGGTTTGTGTACCGTACTATTGATAGGTACAATGAAGTCTCCAGTGTTGAGGACAAGAAAAGAACTGGCCGGCCACGCTCCGCAAGGACACCAGCAGTGATCAAAGCTATCAAGGCGCGGATAGCAAGAAATCCTGTCCGAAAACAGAAGTTGATGGCTTTGCAGATGGGTGTCAGTAGGAAAACAGTAAAAAAGGTTTTAAATGAAGATCTTGGTCTACGGGCATACAAAAGAAAGAGTGGGCACCTACTTAATGCTCGTCTAAAAGCAATAAGGCTTAAGAGATCGCGGGGTTTGTTAAAGCGGTACGCGAAAAACCGACACCGTGATATCCTCTTTACGGACGAAAAATTTTTCGATATTGAAGAGAAGTACAATAAACAGAATGATAGAGTGTACGCTAGGAGTTCTGAAGAAGCTGGAAATAAAGTTCCGAGGGTGAAACATGGACATCATCCATCATCAGTAATGGTCTGGTTGGGAGTGTCCTATTACGGGCCAATTGAGGTTCATTTTTGCGAAAAGGGGGTCAAAACCAGTGCAAAAGTGTATCAAGACACGGTTTTGGACCAGCTTGTCAAAGACCTGCCCAGCACGCTATTTTCGGGACATCACTTTGTGTTCCAACAGGACTCTGCGCCTGCACACAAAGCCAAGACCACTCAAACCTGGTTTGAGCGTCAAAACATCGACTTAATTAGACATGAGGATTGGCCTTTCTCCAGTCCAGACCTTAATCCTTTGGACTATAAAATTTGGCAGGTCTTAGAGAGGAAGGTCTGTGATAAACCCCATAAAAATTTGGAGTGTCTGAAGTCATCTTTAAAAAAAGCAGTCACTGAAATCGACATGAATATGGTGCGTGCTGCGATAGACGACTGGCCGCGGCGCTTAAGGGCCTGTATTAAAAATAAGGGAGGTCATTTCGAATAATTTTATGCTATTTCTATTTCTTAATTTATGTACTATTAATTGATATATCACTCATTAAAAACTGATCAGTACTTTAGTTTTTATCATTATTTCTATTTATGACAGAACTTTGGGACCGACTACGTAGAGTTCATCGATCGATAGTTGGATGTTTAACGGAACTCAATAAGTCTTAAAGTGATTTTTTTTTGATTTGAGAGAGATTAAATGTCATTTTGAGATAATTTTTATCTTAGCACGCTTAAGCACAGTGCTGCCCAATTATTTCAAAATACTTAAAAATACAATAGCCATTAATATGACTGTTTTACCTTATCGCCTTACCAGTTATCTATTGCCAAACTATTTAAAAAGCATTTACATAAATTAGTCATACGTCCTTACATTTTTCCATGACATAATTCTTAACATTTTGTTGTAAAATGTTATATATATCTAACTAGCGAAAATATTGATGTCAACGAATCAACATTATTTCAAGTAGAATAGATGGTACTTACTCAAAAAGCTATGTAAAATTATAGGTTTGTATTGATTAAAAGAACCGATGTGCAAGGCGTCCATGCGTCGGGTTGTCTCTCTCCCTAAAATATGGCGAGGTGGCCGATGGCTGGCCATGCGTCATACTCGTGAACGGGTACTACTTGTGTTATTTCGACTATGACGTATTTGCGTGTTGTTCCCACGAGAATGTAAGTGCTCCTATTTCACCATGCCTCCTGCTGATAGATGACAAGCTTTGCTTTTTTTTTAATTTATGTTATTATTATTAATTACTTAATATATCATGTGGAACATGGTGTAATGGTTGCAGCTCCTTACAAACGTTGTGTAAAAAAATGGCGATTATAAAGAGTGACGGAGAGTTTATTGCCAGTTATTCTCTTCCGTTCTACGCCCTTGATTTGAGAACTGGCAGTAAATGTAAAATTAGAAGCATTAATATTTATTTCTTTACTGACGAGTCATAAGTGTACATTATGTTACCTATATGATTAAATGATTTTTTTACAATAATAGTTGAATTTTTAATTACAGTTTTTTGTCACTCTTATACACTCAAAACGTTGACATTTCTCGACTTTGGTTGCTTTGTCTTTATGTCCATACAACGTCGTCCCATATAACGCCAGAAAATGCGCACTTTAGCGTCATTATAGTTAACTCGGTTAGATCCCATAAGAAATGCGTGGTTGTGGGTTTTTATAGTTACAAGCTTGCACTTTCAAGAGTCAATAAAAATGGTATTTGAAACCTTTTTAACCGTCTACAAAAATGTTTTTAAAAACTATTTATTGAAGTGAAACTTCTTTATCGGTCTTGGAAAAAAATTTAGTGTAACATTTTTTCGTTACGCGTCACATTTTTCTGTTACGCGCCCTCTTTTGAAGTGAAACTTCTTTATCGACGTATGGGAGAAATTTTGTAGCAGGTTACGCGATATGTTGCTTTTTGAAGTCAAACTTCTTTATCGGCGTTGGAAAAAAATTTACACACATTTGTCACATTTTTCGGTTACGCGCCATCTTTTTCTTGTCCCTACCACGGTTGATCCGAAGAGATTCGAAGCCATTAGTAACAAAAATATATAATAACGATAACAATGATAGTAATACTAATAATTCTATTACAATTAATAAAATTCTGTAATAATCTTAGTACTACATAGTAGTACAGTAATAAGTTAAAATGAAATAATTGTATTTGTATTCATGTCTATGATAATAAAAGCCTTTTGTTAAACTTTATCTAATTTAACTTTATTTAACCAATTTCTGTAAAGTTGCATATAGTAGATCATTTTTCGAAAAATAAGGTCATAAAGAAGTTTCACTTCTTACGCGTACACCTACTACACGCACACATTTTTTTTTTGTATAGTTTTCACATGTTCTGCGTAAAAACCTTTCGTAGTATTATGTCAGTTATCTTATTATTCCAGCTCGGAATCAAAACTATATTCGAGCCTGCAGACTCCGGACTTACCAGGATGTTAGATAGTGACGAGAAGTTATTTGTGTCTAAGGGAGTGCAAAAAGCATTCATTGAAGTCAACGAAGAAGGAGCAGAAGCTGCCGCTGCCTCTGGTATGTATATTATTAATACTCAAAGACTATCCATTCAAGGTGTATGGTAATCCTAAATTTGATTGGTTGTGTATTAACAGTATCATAAGAATGTCTTGTTAGAATATTTTTGTTTGGTTCACGTATGTACTGCACAGCTTAGAATCACGCATTTAGTAGTATACAAATATTAAACACGTAGAATTCAGAATGAAGAATTAGAATACAAAACCATACTTAATATATACTTGTGGTGAAAGCGTTATATGGCAAACTTGTAATGATTTAATTATTGAAAAACTAATTCTCGTAATTTGAAACGGGGTCAATTCTATAGTAGTGGAAGATTCGTGTGCTTTACTATTGGCTTACTTAGCGTGTCTATCAGGGGGGCTGGGCCCCCGTATCTTACCCGTCCCGCCTAGAATTATGGACCCATACGGGATACCCGGCCACCTTCTAGAGACGCATAGCTTAGGGTGTGGGTTTATTTTCATTTATTTTGGTGGTTGTAATAAATTTGGGTGTGCCGTGACAGTGGGTGTAGTCAGAACTCGGCGCTCCTTGAATCCGCCACCGCTAATCTTCGCGGCGACAAGAGAAGCCCTATGGTGCGTCTTTATCAAAGGCCAGATGGCGTTTGTGGCCCGCTATAAACCAGACAGGACACAGCTTCGTACCGAACTCTAAGACAACGTTAATATTACCAGCGTCAGGAAAATCGCGCGTCATGTTGCCCGATGGATATTGCTAAAAGCGTAATCAACTAGCTAACATGTCGAGTAGAGATAAAAAAGAGACGAGAGTTACCAAGCGCGAGCATTTGCGTATTTAAAGTGGTCATTGTTCGTGTTCCCAAAATACTTGTCTATGGTTCCTTAACAGCTTACTGAGTGCTTTTTAATCTCTCGCGATAAAACAGTTATCATTGGTAGTTTTCCAATTACAGAGCATAATGCGACTCAGTGCCGCACAATGCCGAATTATGCTGAATAGTCCTGTGTCGGTTATGAACGACCGAGTCAAAACGACCGAGTCCCAACAATCGCGTGATTGATACAATCGTTCACAGCCGCTATATCCCAATCATGTTTGACCGACACGACCGTTCGGTCTCAAAGCGAACGCTATGAAATGGTAGCTCCTCGGTTACTATCGGCTCTCGGTCTCATAGAATATTATTCGCGATTGACATACACTCGGTTAATCTCTGAAGATCGAAACTAGGGTCAAGCTATGTTGAACTTTAATACTAAGGTGCGAAGGTAATAATTTTCTTTCGTATCTCGATTCAAGGAAAAAATGTTCGTAACACGTAGATATTAAGGGCTATTTTAACATGTGGATTTTAACATGCTTTTTGTTTACGTTCAAATTCTAAATGTAAACAATCGCCGTTGTAATTATTTCACTTATGATTTGTATAAGCATTTAAATTTATAGAGTCAATTATTATTATTTAAAGTTATTAGTTGGAGATTGTGATTATTTAGACTCTTAACTTCGCTTTGGATATTTAAAAAGTAGTAACTATTGTTTTATATGGTGCCGTTTTATTTCTAAATCATAATAGCATAATTTTCTTTGTTTATTGGATTTTAATAAACCATTTTCCATTTTTTAAGTTTTTATACCATTACCAGGAATCATTACCTAGCTTATTTCCTGTAAACTACGAAATTGTTGAACGATGGCCATTAAATTTGCTCTACGCCGGTCGCCGCCTTTTGTTTTGCACTCAACGAACGGTGACCGATCGAATCCTTTGACTCGGTCACGAGTGCGATCGGTCACGATCGACCCGGGTCGCGAGAAATGAACGACCGACACAGGCCTAATGCTGAAGCTTAATTGGAACGTGAATTTTTCAAATGCATCAGCAGAGTGCACTAAGTTCAGTGTTAAAAAAAAAATCATAGAGTTAGCAACCTCATTAATGTATAAATAATGTGGAAAACAATAATAATTGGTTGAAAACTATTTACGCTTATTTTAAGTAATTTGGATTTTGATTATTTCATTAACATTTTTTTTACGATTTGAGTAATTTTCTTTATTTTTATTCTCGTAAATATAAACAAATAAGATTGTGTAGTCTTCTTCATCTTGATAAATATGTTCTTTGCCACGAAAACCTGAATGAGAAACGACGAAACGAAAGCCTTACAAATTTTTCAACAATAAAAAATATTACTAAAGATAATATATAAACAAAATTTCGATCAATGCCAACTTAAAGAAAAAACACTAGTCAATTTTCTGTCACTGAGTTTATATTATATTATTGATTGCGAGTATCACGCGAGAGCCATTACTTTTGAGAGTGCTCAATTGTGCGAAGCGTTGCTGTAATTGGAACATTCAACGTTGAGCATTATGCCGCTTAATGCGCTCTAGTGCTGTAATTGGAAAACTACCATTGACATTCCTTTTGATGTTTGACAAGTTAAATAATGTCCAAGCATGTTAACTCGTTGATAGCGTAACACTAACAGCCACGCTCAGAGTCGTTTAGTAATAACGGTTATCCCATTAGTCAAGATAAGCTTCACTGAAAAATCGTAGAAAAAACTTATGAAACCGCGATTCGAGATAATTAAATGACTCTGACTACGGCTGTTAGCGTTAGCAAAGTGCTGTACTAGCGTAAATCCCAAGCAAGTCACGTGCTCCGCAGGCATGGTGCTGATGGTGCTGTGTATGCCTCCGCCAGTACCCATATTCCAAGCTGACCGACCTTTCCTCTACGCCATCCTGGATAAACAGCTCACAACATACTTCGTTGGCGCCTTTCGCGCCCATTAAGACAATTCCATGTTAAACTTTTAACCGCCTTATCTCGACTTTTATATTAATCTTTATTAAAAAACGTCTAATAATACTGTGATTGGTTACCTAGTGATAATTTCTTACATGAAAAAGTAACATAAGTGGCCGGAATTGATTTGTATAATGGTAAAATAATATTAAGTTTAGTCTCACTAAAACATTATGCAAGATCGAAATTATAAACTCGCGAAACATTATTCTATACGTAAATTGTGTTATTGTATCGTGCACTTTTTATCGATTAAACAGGAATAAGAAATTTTATAAAACCGTAAATATGTTTATTATAGAATTATATTTGTAACGAATAAACTCCAAAAACAACTGGACCCAATCCTATGAACGAAAAATTTATGTTATTGAAATAATATTTTGGTAGCTTTGAGTGCGTCAATGTTACTATTGACTCTGTTAAGACTCCCTGAAGAAAAAAAAGGATTAAATAATAACTATCGGTTGGACCTTTGGAATAGTGAAGTTTTCTGCTATAAATCCGTTGCCGAAATCCACTGCAGACTTAATTACTGTAATTAAATCTAATTTCGATGATATTATTATAAAGCGTATTTATGATTGTCTTTTATGATATGTACGGCATATTTTGGGTAAATAATTTCTAAGTAGTTCCCATTGATATACAAAAAACCCAAGATGCACAGTCTCGAATAAAAGTAACGCTCGAAAGTGTCCCGAAACACTATTTCTGTCCCTTTCTATAACAGTATGTCTATAACAGTATATGTTACAAGCATATATTATTGCAAAATCAACCTTACGCGAATTGCTTAAAGTTGTTATTACAACGCAGTGTATACGTACTTAAAGCAATAAAATTTTACGACCGACCGTGGTCGGTAGGACAAGGTATTGAGTGGAGTCGAACATGACTTTTTTATTTACAATTATATAACATAATTTTAAATTTATCCGACTTTTCTGCTTTACAGCGTGCGTGGTCACGGTGACTAAAGACAAAAGGTGTTGGATGTTAAATAGTTGGAAATTTATAATAATACATAACTTTAATCCGGTTAAAAAGTTTTTTCTTTAAATTAAAAAAAATGTTAAATTGGCTACCTCCTGACCTACACTTTATATAGCGTAAATATATTTGTCAAAAACTACACACAAAAAAGTTCAAAAGTACATAAATTTATTTATAAAAAAAAACACAAATAAATAACATCGACTCCACTTATTAGACGCGAGACTATTTGAAATTAGCGCACAATTTAGAATGTTGCGCTCATTTTTTGAGGACGTTTTTTAGACGTTGATTGTGCATATTGGGTTTTTTATATATCAATGGTAGTTCCTGAAAAAAAAGATATATTTTAAATATATTTTACACCAATTCGAATTTAAAGTAATCTGTTATTTTTTAACAAAATTAATATTAAATATACGATAATTCTTAAATGATCACAAATTGTAAAACTTTATAAAAATGTATTAATGTACTATAAAATATAATTGTGAATTATATGACTTAAGATAGTTGCTTTTTAATAGTTTTATTGTATTTGTTTTATGTTAATTGTTAGTGTATAGTAGTATTTTCCATGCGTTCATGAATCAATTTATGTCTATGTCATGAAATCTGTAAGAACTTAAAGAAATGAAAATCATGCAACAATTATTAATAAGAAATTTTTAAATATAACATAATTTATGTCTCATATTTTTTTTTATGATTTCTGCTTAGCTTTGTTTGTGTGATATATCGAAGCTTTTGATTTTTTGTGTTGTATAAATATATTTTTTTTTAAATCGGTGATGGATTTACTTTACAGCGATGGGTGTGATGATGTGTAGTGCTATAATCGAGCCACCGACGCCAGAGTTCACAGCGGACCGTCCATTCTTGGCTGTAATTCTTGTCGGTAATGAAGTGTACTTCGAAGCTATTTACCGTGGAAAGCAATAATTGTTAACGCACGCACAAACTGTTTTTAATGCATTTGTAATTGTTTATACGTTTCTTAAAATGTCAATTAGTAAGCACAATGTTTTTATTGTGAGATTAATATATATGTATATGTATATCGTGTTAAAAATCCGCATTTATATAATTAAAATTAATCTCTGTTGTATGCTAATGTTCGTCAAATATTTGAAAACAGCGCCTCTGGTGGTAACGCGCAGAACATAGAAATATATGACGCAGACAGCGTTTAATATGTCACACTGTACAACAGTAAAATAATATAAAGTTCCTATTCCTCTCTGAATTTTGATGAATATATTGCGTTTATATGAGCATGTACCATGTCAAACATGGGAAAGATTTTAATAACGGTACAAAGTGCACTTACAATAAGTATTATTTTTACACGCTTATAGTTAATGTATATTTATTTTTAATATATTTTAATAATTTATAATGTTGTTTTATTTCGTACCGGTGATATCGACAAGACTTTTTAAAGCATATTTTTTATTTAACAAGCAGACGAAAATATTGTCCTCTCTTACTGATCATTTTTCTTTCGGCTCTTATCTTCCTCACGATGTTATGGTAACGTATATAATCTGGAGCATAGACTTATTAAACTATATGTAGAGTAAAATATTTCGTAAAGTATGTAGAAGTATTTCATTTTGTTAGTCTGTAAATGTGTGTGCAATCTAAGGTAAGATTAAGACAACACTATCTTTACATAATAGCACTAAAGTCATTTCCTTAATATATAACCCCGTTTTAATTAAAGTACAAATCTATTCCTCACAGGGTAAACAAAATAAGACAGGAGGAGATGAAATGGTACTTTGGTTAAGTGTGCAATTAGGCTTATTTGATTTTAATGAATAGTAAACTTATTTAATCTACAAGAAAACATGGATGCTCCTAGAACTTTAATGCTATGTGAATCCAGCAAAACATAGAAATTATCAATAGGTGAAGGAATATAACTCAATTTAATATATTATTAAAAAGTTTTTTTTTTTAAATATACATGTGTCTACTAAGACATCATGGAACATTACAATCTAGCCTAACTTAAGACTAATAAGTAATTTAAGTCTAACCTAATTTACTAATAAGGAGATTATTAAAAAGTGTGTATGGCTTAGTAGATAAAATCTTATTAAATATTGATAACATCTCATATCAATCATTATCGCAAAAATGTAGGCATTTAGCTCGATAATTTGGTATAATTAAATTCTAAATTAGCCAATTTTGGTGGAGTTGAACGGTTATGTGAGGACTTTTCAGAAAATTTTACTGCGGACCACCCATTTCTAACAATCATAACACTCAAAAGGATAACCTTTTTCAGGAACACTTTTACAACATTTACAGATGATAATTGTATACGTTCTAATCGAACTCATAATAAGTCGAATTGTGGTCTTTTATAACTTAATAATATACGATTTAATATATTTGGTTTCTTATTTACATATAACATGTTCATACATTATGATGGTGGTTCAATTAAACGAAATAAGATTATTCATTAGATTAGCAGCAATTAAAGCATTTGTTAAGGGTTGATGGTCTCAAATGCAATTTAGCCATTAATTAGTGTTACGATAATAATTAACATTAAGTAGTCACTAACAAGTGCGGAACCAAGTGTATTTTCTACAGATATGCATGGGCAAACGAACAGTTTGATAAGAACATTTGATCGGTTTTGTGGTGCACGATATAACAGAATTATTGATACTAAAACCTCGCTTGCCAAACGAATTCAAGATCTGCATGTCTGGGAATAGATTCGTAATGAACTAATATATATTTTCAGTAATATACTTACGATAAGCGAGCCAAATGTATTGGAACAAATAATTGATTGCTCGTAAGCAGGCATGACACTCATATGTAAAACATATGTGATTATGTTCACGTGTTTTTTAGTGAAATATAGCGTCCAGACTTTTGGATTTGCACAGTATTACATAAGTAGCAGTGTTCCGAATGAACTAATTACCCTGGTTCCTAATAATTACGAGAAGTATTGTTTATCTACGGATTATAAATGGAAGCCATGCCCGAAATACAGTACATCCAGTAACGACGTAACGCCAGTGACGAAATCATATAATTTAGAAGATCGATTTACAGTCACCGTTTTATGGACAAAGAATTTAAAGATCAAGAGTTGTATAATTTATTCTTGTCAATTCCCCCAAGTGTTCCTAAATCAATAGGTGGCTTATTTAGATATTGGAACTGGCTATTAAAGAACACTCCAATAGAATTATATAGTGATGAGATTCCGCTGCCAATACTCAATTATCGTAAAGGCACTGAACTGATATCTTCCAGGAACAAAGAAAATGAGTTAAGTTCAAGTTTCAGTCGGCTAGGAACTGACCCAAAGGAAGACCTAATAAATGAATTTATAGATTCATTGGATCAACTTGAAAAGAAATTCTACGCCGTAAGTATTATTTTATTATTAAACAGCAGTAACTAAACAGTCGATGACTATTAATTACTTTGAGAGACCAGTGAAAGTTGCCAATTTAAACAGTCTTTGACTTTATAATAGCGAAAATAGAAAGTGTGCATTTATTCATTCACGCATACATTAATAATTTATTATAATTGTCTTTTATGAACCGGTGTACCACTTAATTAGTCATTTTAAGAAACTAGGGCTTAATATGTCTGTATATGACAATTGAAATTATACTTCAGTGGTACGTTGATTTTTCTTGGCACGGGACACTCTTTTGTACCTTCCAAATAAACAATGATTATTTCGTTAGGTATCGAACCTATAAGGAAGGAGGTAAAAAAACAATATTTAAACTTCTTTAACACATTGTAGACAACTTACGCAACTTTGCAAGCAATAAGCCCTTCCGAGTATGTAAACGGGATCAGTTTTACACTTTCTGGATTATTTTTACAAATGGCACTAGTTGCTCTTTCGACAGAAGTGGATCATGAAACTAGAAGAGAATTAGATGAGTGCACTGGCTTTTATGTACCAGAACAGGTATTTAATTACATTGTTTAATAAAACTTCAAATTCACTCGCCATTGTTCTCTTAGAATTCGGTCACATTTAATAATAATAATGACTTCTTACACATTATTTAGTTAATCATCAGATAAGAACCACGTATGAAACCACGTTCAATTAAGATATTCGTAACTATATTGGTTAACTTTAGTGTGGTCAATATATGTCTAATTTGTTGTGCTAGGCTAAAATAGAAGTACTGAAAAATATAATATCATGGCTACCTACATCAAGTGATCGTCTTAAATTTCGTTACAAAACAAGATTAGTAGTCAAACAAGGTATTTATGTAAGTGAAAAATTCCTCCGAGGTGCTGCAGCAGCAGGGCGTATCAAAGTAGAACATTTAAATGATACACAAACTCCTGAAAAACTAACAGCCACTCTTAATCACATGGTAAGTATTATTCTAATATTAAATATAGACCAATGGTAGCTCAGAAATACAGCAAACAATGGAAGACATTATAAATAATGTCAGGTCTGGATTAAGAGCTTCAATTAGTATGTTTGTTTTGATTTGAATTTATTAAAGTTATAAATAAACATAGTGTAGAAAAATAATTCCCGTTTATAGTTTTCAATACATTGTAACGGACGTGACGTCGCCAGTCACATCCTGCCAAGCCAAGCCAAAGCCAAGCCAAAGCCAAGCCAGAGCCAAGCCAAAGCCAAGCCACAGCCAAAGCCAAGCCAAGCCAAAGCCAAAGCCAAAGCCATAGCCAAAGCCAAGCCATGCTATGTTGACCAACCCTCCAGCCAACCGCCATGCCTGCCAACCGCAAATGCCAGCCACTTGGAGGGGATGAGCCTATATAAGCCAAAGCCAGCCATATTAAAACCTACTTTTTGGAAGACGTAAAATAAAGAATAAGTGTGCTGTCACTCTGCCATTTTATTTTCACTGTCAATTATAATTAATTAAAATACTATTATCAATAAAAGAATAGGTCAATTATAACATATTTTTTTCTTGAATAAGTATTTTTTTACGTAGTTTAGACCTTTACATTGTTGTCATTTAATTAAAAGATAGAATTAAAAACAAAGGGTCGATAAAATAGTCGAAAAAATATCAATTTCTCCATAAATTTACTAAAAAAAATTCAATTTTAATTTAATAATAGATAAATACATACTTATTAAACATTTTGCCTTCTTTTTTTTTTTTTTCATTTAGGCCCTAACGTATTTTATAAGCATTGGACCCCTTCGAACAGGTTGAAATTGATTCAGGTGGGGCTTTGCGTAATACATTTGAGGAAGACGAATTGTCTAAAGGCGTTTGTGCTGTTTTGATGTCAACGGTTTACTTGCGAGCTCGGTGGAGATCACCGCCCACTCTTTTAAATGGAACGTTTCCATTTTACGAAGACGAAAGAGCCCCCGAAAGAAACGCTCGGATGATTCGCATCAATGATATCATGGGATATGCTGATCTTCCAGAATGGGATGCTGAAGTGAGTTTAGTTAAACACACTGTTAATAGTAATTTGATTTATATGTTCTGCGAGATGTGCATTTTATTAAGCAACAAATGTTAAGCGTCGTAGGGAATGTAAACTATAATTGACCTATTCTTTTATTGCTAATTGTATTTTAATTTATTATAATTGACAGTGAAAATAAAATGGCAGAGTGACAGCACACTTATTCTTTATTTTACGTCTTCCAAAAAGTAGGTTTTAATATGGCTGGCTTTGGCTTATATAGGCTCATCCCCTCCAAGTGGCTGGCATTTGCGGTTGGCAGGCATGGCGGTTGGCTGGAGGGTTGGTCAACATGGCATGGCTTGGCTTTGGCTTTGGCTTTGGCATTGGCTATGGCTTTGGCTATGGCTTTGGCTTTGGCTTGGCTTTGGCTTTGGCTTTGGCTTTGGCTTTGGCTTTGGCTTTGGCTTTGGCTTGGCTCTGGCTTGGCTTTGGCTTGGCTCTGGATTGGCTTTGGCTTGGCTCTGGTTTGGCTTTGGCTATGGCTTTGGCTTTGGCTTGGCTTTGGCTTGGCTCTGGCTTGGCATTGGCTTGGCTTTGGCTTGGCTCTGGTTTGGCTTTGGCTTGGCTCTGGTTTGGCTTTGGCTTTGGCTTTGGCTTGGCTTGGCAGGATGTGACTGGCGACGTCACGTCCGTTACACTCGGCCATTCTGAAACAGTTGTTCCCGTGGGAACAACAACTACAATTAGCTCTCTAATAAATCAATCAGATCTTCGGTTTCAAGTTGCTCATCTGAACTGCTGGCACTATCAGATACAGTAATAATGCTTTTATAGGGTCTTAACGAATCGGCAGATACTAATACAGTAAAACTCTTATATGCACGTAAACCCTTTAGGTGTACTTCTCATTTGGTACTTATCATTGCCAACTACCTTAGTTACGACATAAAGACCGGAATACAAGTCGTCAAGTTTAGTGTTAACTTTGGATGCGCTACAAGTCGGTGTTTGTCGCCATAGAACAAAATCACCCTGCTTATATATGTGAGCAGATTTTCGTTTTTTGTCAAGTAACGTTTCATTGTAGTACTCGCTTTTATTATCCTATCAGATGCTTTCTTTCGACGCGACTCTACTGGTTCAGAAACACGCCCGGGAACCGCAACATCACATACTGATCTACCGGCCCGAGCAAACATCAAATCGTAAGGTTTGTAAATGGTGGTGTTATCAATTGTGTTGTTAATTGCCCAAATTATGTCGGGCAAAGAGTTAGCCCAATTGCTAGAGGCTTCACTGGGGTCTGTGGCTCGTAATGCATCCAGTATTGTCTTATTTGTACGTTCCACTTGACCGATAGAACGCGGACAAGCGAGAGTATGTCTTAATTGTTTATTGTTCGAAAACTTCTTAAAGTTACTCGTGAACGCCTTTCCGTGATCGGTGACTATGTGATCAGAGAAGGAAAATAAATGAAATATTCTTCGTAGTACTCGAATAGTTTAAACTATTGTCGTTCAAGGTTTTACGATAGAGCCTATCATCAATAATTTCGAAATTATTTTATATCCGCCGGTATTATCTTTTAATTGACTAACGTTTGCGCTCAACTATTGTCCTGACATTGCACCGTATAAAACTAATCCGCCACTTCTAGACGATTCATGTTCATAGCATCAACCGGATGTCTACTAAGCGCATCTACATGTTTCATGTGTTCTCCCGGCCTATACTCGACACTTATATAGTAATCTTGTATAGAAAGCCACCACCTCCGCGATACGTGGTATAATGTCGCGTTTAGTAAGCGTAGCGCGGACTGCTGCACAATCTTAACGTTTTTCCCGACAATGTATACGCGAAAACGACGCATAGATTCCACCGACTGCCAGAGTCTCAAACTCATAACTATGATACATGCTCTACTAAAATATATAACGGGGCGCAACGTACCGTCAGTCTGCTTTTATAGAAGTATACCGGCTATTCCCAATTTACACGCGTCAGTCATAAATCAGTAGTTACGGGTTCACCTATATTATTGGCATTATAATTGGCAAAAGTATGGCAAGCAGCAAAGGAAATTACCCGACTAGTGACTATACGGCTGTAACGAGATTCCTGGCAGCTTTCAGCCCTTGTTAGGACCTCTTCCGGCGACCACACGATAACCTAGCACCCGGTGTTGACGACTTTGATGTAACCATCTTCGCTACGGAGCAGGGTAGAGGGATAAGAGTAGACCACCACACTCGTAGTGTCGAGGTGGCGTTACCACATCGTTGCCGACCTTATTCTCCAGAACGCGCACTTGATGGAAAGAAGAGCCAGATGGAAGTTTGTCTTTGTTGACTTCGCTGTTGATAGGTTGACCGATGAAAAGATTAACGTCGGCCATCTTGATGCTAGAGATTCTTTTTCCATTGCTCCCACGTATAATCGTAGTCCTACAGGCGCTTGTACCTCTTCTTCGCTTGACCTCGTAGTTCATCGTATATTCCTCAATGTCAAGGTCGAATTCCGGAGTCAAAAATGCAGCACGATGTACTTGTGACTTATTTGGAGCTTCATCAACACAGTCATCTTGAAGATCGCGTAGAGCCTTTTATTACTTCTTTTTATTAGCAGATTCTTGAGCAGCTTCAGTGCCGGCGGTGAAGGATCTTCCTCCGACATTGATTCGTCAGAAGGTCGAAAAAACTTGTGGTCGAGGTCGTTTTATCCCACTTCTGAGTATAATTGACCTATTCTTTTATTGCTAATTGTATTTTAATTTATTATAATTGACAGTGAAAATAAAATGGCAGAGTTATTGATGTAAAACCTTATTATTTAGAATTTAAAAAAATTTTATTCTTTTAACCGTCTGTCAATCAGATTTTCGTCAATAAATGTTGTATTAAAACGTTGGCTAATTAAACCATATTTTTGGTGTACAAAACTATAATATGGTAGCAGAGCGTGGTTCGATTTGATTGGACCAACGTTTTCAACGAAGATTGAACGAAACAAATAGTGTTTTCTGGGACATTTTCATCTCATAACCTGGTGGTGATAGTTACTGGAATTTTGGTGACTGACAATCATGGAATTTCAAGGTATTGAGAAGTTGAAGGGTTCGGAAAACTGGAATATTTGGAAATTTATGGTGCGTAATTTATTGCGTGCAACTGATGGAGCCTATGAAGTCAGTATTGGAGAGTTGACTAAACCGGTGCTGGTTGACAATGCGACGGCGGATCAACGTATTGGAGAGTTGACTAAACCGGTGCTGGTTGATAATACGACGGCGGATCAACGTGCGGCTCACGCAGCAGCAATGAAAGTTTGGGACAAAGCAGATCGCGCAGCTTGTCAAATCATCGTCAAGACAATTGATTCGAGAGTTATGACCCTGATCGTCGCCTGCGAGACTGCTCATCAGATGTGGACCAAACTGCACGGTATTTATGAACAACAAACTAAACAAGCTGTTCATTCGGTGCAGACGGAGTTTTTCAGTTTTGACATGAATTTAGCGGATGATATGGTAAGCCATATAGCTAAATTTGAAGGTTTGATTCTTCGTATGCAGCAGTTGAAGGTTAAACCCGATGAGTCAGCTTTGATGGTTAAGTTGCTGGAAACTTTGCCTGACAGTTTTGAAAGTTTCAGACAAGCCTGGTGGGCCAGATCGGACGATCAACAAACTCTTGATAACCTTATCAATGTTTTGACATCTGATGAGCACAGAAGAAAGCTTCGGCAAGAAAAGGTGGACAATTTATCGGCATTGATGGCAACCAAGTTGAAGGTTCAACCAAAGGTGCAAGTGGAAGTCAACATGGTGATAAGCAGGCCAAAGATGATGTCAAGTCCAACCAGAAGGGAAAGAAGTCTACCTTCAAGTGCTACGGTTGTCAAGGAGTTGGTCATTTTCGAAGAGATTGTCCAACAGCAAAGAAGAAGAAGAAATCTGGTGATGTGGTCTCTGAAGGTAAAAATCAAGCTTTCGTTAGTGAAGTCTTCAATGCGGAATCCAAGAATGAAGATTGGATCATCGATTCTGGTGCGACTGACCATATGACTTTCAAGAAAGAATGGTATACATTCTTTGAAGCTTTCTCGATTCCAGCTGAAATTCGTATCGGGAACAATTCAGTGATGCGTGCCTTGGGAAGAGGAACTATCAACTTCGAAGCGCTTGTGAATGGACATTGGACTCCTTGTTACATGGAAAACGTGCTGTATGTTCCTGATGCCCGAAGGAATCTGTTTTCGGTCACGCGTGCGCTGGATAAAGGCATGACTTTCAGTTCTTCCAAGGATAGATGTGAGTTCCTGCTGAATGGTGTTGTCAAGGCGCAAGGTGTACGAACTGGTCAACTATTCAAGATGTTGCTCAGAGTCAACGAACCGGACACGTGCTGTGTGAGTGAAGCTAACCTGGCGTTCAAGGACTCGTTTCAAGTTTGGCATGAACGTTTGGGCCATCAAAACAAACGTCATGTTGCTCAGGTACTCAAGAAACACGGAATTCATGTGAAACCTGATGATGAGTTCTGTGGATCATGTGTAGAAGGTAAGCAACATCGACAACCGTTCAACTCACGTCAACAGCGATCTTCTGAGCCAGGTGAGGTGATTCATGCTGATGTCTGTGGTCCAATGGAACAGGAGTCGATTGGTGGTTCCAGATACTTTGTCTGTTTCATGTGTGACTACTCCAGATTTCGCCTGGTGTACTTCTTGAAAAGGAAATCTGAGGTCATTGACAAGGTCAAAGAAATGTTGCAGTTTGTGAAGAATCAACGTGGTCGACCAGTTAAGGTGTTCCAGTGTGACGGAGGAGGAGAATTTGTAAATGGAGCGATGCAAAATCTTATGAAGTCTGAAGGAACGAAGATGGTAGTCACCAATCCGTACACGCCTCAACAAAACGGTTGTGCTGAACGATCAAACAGAACAATTGATGACCTAGCACGTACTATGCTTGTTAGCAAAGATCTACCGAAGTTTCTGTGGGCTGAAGCTGTCAACGCGGTGGTGTACATCCTCAACCGAACTGGTCCAAGTTCTGTAGAGGGTAAAACTCCTTACGAGTTGTTCGTTGAGAAGAGCGTTCATCTGAA